TCAAGCCACTAGCTTGAAGCCCTATGTTCCACTGGGGAACGTGCAGAAAAAAAGTCTTTATTAACAAGGTTGAAATGTATTCACATTAGTGTTGTAACAGCGGAGGATTTGTAATGTTTCTGTTTGTTTCTCACTTGACACTAGAATAAGCCTTCAGTCATGATGCTCGCTGTAGCCAACTAATCACTTAGAATTATTTCCCCCAAACTGATTTCTTTTTTAATCCTTTAGGTTCCCAGTGGAACAGACTTCAAGTTTCCATAGCAGTGGTGTTTAGTTTTACAGGATGGGGTTTCTAGCCTCATGTCCGACCTTCCCTCTTTACCAGTCTTATTACTAGCTGAGGGAGGTAAAGGAGTGCATCTCTGGTCGGGGATCGAACCCAGGACCACCTGTGTGGTCGGCGAGCACTCTACTGCTGTGTTACAGACACACACACACACTGAGTAGACACATAGAATTCGGATTTAATTGAGAAAACTGCGGCAACACTAACAACTTTTTATTCACAATCCACAGTAAATTATCCTGTACCCATCAGCAGAAATTTAAACCATGGATAATTAATGACTATCTGATTGATTGTACCAGTCATAATTTTACGGCTAACACTGAAAGTCAGTCAGTCCCAGCATCTTCCCTCTTTCAATAGATTTTCAGCTGGAGGACCACTACTGAAAGATATTCGTGGGTCTGAGTACTCTCTGCCTATGATCTATAAATAGTTTTGGATATTTTCTAGATGTATGGCCGACTTCACCAGAAAAAAGTAAAGAAGTCGTTACATTGTTCGTTGATCAGAATTAGGCATTTTCAGTGGATACTGATTACTGATGCATATTCCCCGAACACTTTACGAGAAATTCAGATCGTTTCATCAGAATCATGATGGTGAAAAAGTATTTTCCAACAGGTTGGTTCAACTAACCGAATGAATGCCGAATAGATTCTAGTCATGACGTTTTGTAAGATGACGTAAATCTTCCCAATTATTTGAAAAGAATATGACATCTTGACAGATTTCACCAACTAAGTTCGAAATATCTCCAGAAGTATTTTTAACAACATGAAAAGTAATGGAAACTGTAGGGAGAGTTCTTTTCCCTCTCATCTGAGAGGTAAGAAACTGGAGTGAAAATCTCTTCGCACTTGAAGTGGTCATATCTCCTGGTTTTGCACAAATAGTGCCTTCACACTAGATTTCGATGCATCACTGGAATACAGATTCTCGTTCTGACTGTTTTAACACCAGTATTCAAAGATTCCTTGAAACACAACTGTGCAAATAATGTATCAGTTGATAAATTACCCTGTGCTTCTATGGCTGAATGAATGACAGAATCAATAATATCAGTATGCTCATGACTAGATAACTGCAAATACAATTTACTAGTAAGCAGCACTTCACATAGTTTCACTTGTAAGTCTGTTGTTACAGTAACTTGACTGGCTCAGAACTGGAGGACATGATTTAAAAACATCTTGCTGAAAATTAATGACCTGATATTCTTCTGAATTGTATACCACATCGCCAAATGTATTATGACGACGATGATTTGAATACCCCGTTGCCAGTTTTAGTGGTTTGATGGTTGTTGTTTATCTTGACTACAATGCACCTCTAGACAACTGATTATTTGAAGGTATTCCCCCACACTGAGAAGACGTACAGAAGTTAGATTTAACTATCATAACAACAACCTTGATGATTGCATCAATCATCATTTTCCGGCCAACAAGTATAGTTATTCTTACTATTCCTTTGCGTTCCAAGTAGAATATAGGGCTTCTACAACACAGCTCTACTTTGTTCTACTTTCTGCTGTCCTCTTCAGCTGGTCAGCCACACGATTGCCCCTTGAATCTGCCATCTGCTCCCCTAAGTCACACAATCTATAGGCCACCCTTGCACCGACGACCCACTCGTCGCTTCCCATAAGGATTCCACTCTACCAATGGCCTGCACTAAGCTCGATGTCATTCGATGGCCTCCTTAATGGTGTATGCCCGATCCACCTCCATTTTCTCTAGCATATTTAGTTAAGCGTTAGGTTCTTGGCTGGTTTTTTCCACTCCAGAGTTTCTTGTTACTTATTCTTTCTCACCATTTGATCTCCAGTATGGAGCCAGTGAAGGCATCAGCTGTTGATAAAAGTCTGCAGTGGCCTGTTAGAAATTTTTGTTCGTGACATTCTGGCCAATGTTCTAACTCGTATAGAAGAACTGATTTCACATTTGTGTTGAAAATCTGCATCTTGTTCTAATTAGTTCATCCTAACAGAAATAGACTGTTCTCATTGTTTAAATCTACTCTAACTGTAGTACTACAATTCTTAGTATGACTAAACTTTATCTGCTGATTTGTAAATGTCATCGTTTTGGAAATAAAAAGGTAACGAACGTATATAGAATTCAGATCATCAGAGAAAAATAGACTAAAAAAAGAGTTTGGCAACACACAATTAAATTCAGTGGTTAAGTTTATAAAAATTTTGTATGACATGATGAGTGGATGTCAGAGTGACAAAGTAAAGTAACAATTTAGAACTTTACAACATTGGAAAAGAATGCTTAATGTAGCCTTGAGTGAATTGATTTTTAGTGAAGATGACATTATATCTACTTAAGGATAAGTGATGTTAAATACCCAGATCTCAGCCTATCGCTGGTTTCAGAAGAGTACGCCTAACGCGCCGAATATTATACGCGCAGTAACCGACACGGAAGGATAATACAATTGCGTATTCCTCCACCAATTACAAAAAAGGACGACACGTTACTGTGTGCAAAGTCTGTCAATAAACGTCAATAAAATATACAGTGTGCAATTCTTCTTATTGTATTTCTCCGGTCCTGCGGTAACCAAACATACGATTAAGCCACTGGTCGCTACCGTTATCTCCCGTTCAGTGAAGTTCAGTTCGAAGAAACAAACCATTGAGTATTCATCAACACTGACAACTGCCTTTCAAGCATTTCTTTGTAAACTGGAATTTCAACTTAAATGTGAAAGTTTTGTCAGTCAATCGGATGAGGGATACTGAAAGTGTTATTGACTTTGTGCCTTTCTCGACGGGCAATGTTAGCTGACATTGGGTCAGGTTGGGAAAGATCCAATGGTAGTAGTCAAACCAAAACATAGCTTCACTAGTCAGTGAAATCCACAACATTTAGTTTAAGTCAACTACACAGGAGGAAGGTGTAGACTTCCTGACTGGTTGAGGTTCTCCGGATGGTAAAATCCGGTGACTGGAGACACTTCATGACATGAGTCAAAATGGTTGTCAGTTAATGGTGTAGATACATATATATATATACTTCCTGCTTGGGATATTTCGGATCGTGGCAAATACCCATCAGGACGTTAGAAGGAAAAGAACAAGAAGTTCAGCAAACTGAAATCTTCTTTACGGCAATCCCAGTCAGTCGCATTTATATACTTAAGTCTACATAGATTCAATCATTCTTGTTTAATTCTACATAACAAAGAAGAAGAAGGGAGTTAAAGATGTGCTAATAATCGTTAACTTGAATGCAAAGTTTGAGAGTGTGAGCTTCTGCAGTACGAAGAAGACAGAAACACACTTCTTCTAGTAGATTTCCGTTTACTTTGTAAGTGACTGAATGATGGATGAGTCAGTTGAGATACTGTGACAGGTGTTGACAAGGCCTTCAGTTATGGCGATTTTGATGAACCAGTGCCTCCTCTCCACTACAGCCATGCTGAATAATTTTCTCTAATACGTTTTAATAGGACCCTCACAAAACGACTTATGTATCTAGCTGTTCACGAGCAACTATTTTCTCATCCCCTTGTAATCGATATTCGGACCCTTGAACTTACACATCACGTTGAAATTAATATCACACCTATAACCTCCTTCTCCGTTATTATAAGAAATTAAATAATAAGAATCACAAAAAAACTTGGAGGATCTGGACTTCGCCGATGATGATATATGTCTGATTTCCCACAAACTGGAAGATATGCGAGTGAAAAGCAACAAGTTGGCAGAAGAAGGATCAAAGATAGGACTACAGGTGAACATAGAGAAAACAGAGGTGATGAAGATTCTTGGCCAACAGCAACAACGACAGACAACAATCAGCCAGCGTGAATGGGAGAAACCTGAAAGAAACAACCTCCTTCACCTACCTGGGAAGCATCGTTTCAACTACAGGCGAAACTGACGAGGATATCAAAGCAAGAATCGGGAAAGCAAGGCAAGCTTTCATTACTCTCAAGTCTGTGTAGAGTTCAACAGCGCTCACCATGAAAAATGACATCCGGATTTTCAAGTTCAATGTGAAGTTAGTGCTACTCACTAAACGGATCAGAGACTTGCACTGCGCGTCATAAAGAACATCTCAAACAAACTACATACCTTCATCAACAGCTAGCTGCCTTCTCCCAAAACTCAAGATCAGATGGCCGGCCAGAAAAGATCAGCAACAGGGATCTCTGGCAATGAGCGAAGCAACCAGGAACCGATTGTGCAACAAATAGGCAGGAAGAAATGGAGATGGATTGGCTGGTCATACTCTGCGGAAACCATCAAGTGACATCACTAGACAAGCCACTGTTCGAGTGTGACCCGAAAGGGAAGCGGCGAGTTGATCGTCAGTTCGAGGGTTACTTGGAGGTCATGTGAAGAGAAGATGAAAGCGTGTGGGCAGACTTGGAGCCAGGTGAAAACTCTAGCAGAAAACCGAACGCAATAGAGACGCCAGATTGAAGCCCTGTGTTCCTCTAGGAATTAAAGGAAATAATAATCATGATTATATCTGTGTAAACTTATGTATATAAGTGTGACTGTACAGCTGCGCTTTTGAGAATTAAATCGCCGAAAATATCAACAACTTTTCTGTTGAACTTCATGTTCTCTTCTCTCTAATATTTTTAGTTCATTAAACTCTCGTCATTCTTCATATGTGATTTATTTTGATTTTTGACAACATTAACGTTTATGTTAATTTCTTTACACTTCTCTGCTTGATAGATGAAATTCAACCAGAAGATTTCATAAAACGTGTGGAGCTCAAGGAAAGATATGAAGAGTTGATTGAATGCATAGACTGTCATCAGCCGGCTATACATCAGATAGACGGGGAGTTGAATACAATCAGTCAGAATTTAGCCTTGATTGCTAGCAAATTGAATGATCCTGACTGTGATGCTCATCTAACTGGCACGAGTTTATCAACTACTGGTGCACTCTTTAAACAGATACTTGGATTAGAAGAGATCGAGTTAGAAATTAGACAAACTGACGAAAATCTGTGTGAAATAAAGTTTAATCCGCTGTTCACTACAGACTCCTGTCAGACAGAAGGAATTCAGAAGAGACTGGAGTCCACTGAAGGTGAACTAATCGATATGCAATTTGCTATAGATAACAAGCTAAAGCATTTGAAGCAATTCCATCAGAGATTAGATGAATTCACAGAATCTATTAAAACCCAATTGGTATGGATAAGAGAACAAGAAAGTGAATTGGAACAATACACCATAAGGCATAATAATAACGAATCCGAAGCTTTGGAGAAAGAACTCAATGACTTTTATATGCTTATTATAAAACTTAATCATTATCAAAGAGATAGTCTACAGCCAATGCTGAATACTTACGATAAACTGACGCGCAACAATTTCAATCCAAATGAAGTTGTTGCGCGTCAGTTTATCGTAAGTATTCAGCATTGGCTGTAGACTATCTCTTTGATAATGATTAAGTTTTATAATAAGCATATAAAAGTCATTGAGTTCTTTCTCCAAAGCTTCGGATTCGTTATTATTATGCCTTATGGTGTATTGTTCCAATTCACTTTCTTGTTCTCTTATCCATACCAATTGGGTTTTAATAGATTCTGTGAATTCATCTAATCTCTGATGGAATTGCTTCAAATGCTTTAGCTTGTTATCTATAGCAAATTGCATATCGATTAGTTCACCTTCAGTGGACTCCAGTCTCTTCTGAATTCCTTCTGTCTGACAGGAGTCTGTAGTGAACAGCGGATTAAACTTTATTTCACACAGATTTTCGTCAGTTTGTCTAATTTCTAACTCGATCTCTTCTAATCCAAGTATCTGTTTAAAGAGTGCACCAGTAGTTGATAAACTCGTGCCAGTTAGATGAGCATCACAGTCAGGATCATTCAATTTGCTAGCAATCAAGGCTAAATTCTGACTGATTGTATTCAACTCCCCGTCTATCTGATGTATAGCCGGCTGATGACAGTCTATGCATTCAATCAACTCTTCATATCTTTCCTTGAGCTCCACACGTTTTATGAAATCTTCTGGTTGAATTTCATCTATCAAGCAGAGAAGTGTAAAGAAATTAACATAAACGTTAATGTTGTCAAAAATCAAAATAAATCACATATGAAGAATGACGAGAGTTTAATGAACTAAAAATATTAGAGAGAAGAGAACATGAAGTTCACACATCTTTAACTCCCTTCTTCTTCTCTGTAGACGCAGTCCTTTACCTCGCTAAGCCAGAAATAATGCTGGTAAAGAGGACAGGCTGGTCATGAGGCTAGCAACCCCATCCTGTAAAAATAAACACTGCTATAGAAACTTCAAGCCACTAGCTTGAAGCCCTATGTTCCACTGGGGAACGTGCAGAAAAAAAGTCTTTATTAACAAGGTTGAAATGTATTCACATTAGTGTTGTAACAGCGGAGGATTTGTAATGTTTCTGTTTGTTTCTCACTTGACACTAGAATAAGCCTTCAGTCATGATGCTCGCTGTAGCCAACTAATCACTTAGAATTATTTCCCCCAAACTGATTTCTTTTTTAATCCTTTAGGTTCCCAGTGGAACAGACTTCAAGTTTCCATAGCAGTGGTGTTTAGTTTTACAGGATGGGGTTTCTAGCCTCATGTCCGACCTTCCCTCTTTACCAGTCTTATTACTAGCTGAGGGAGGTAAAGGAGTGCATCTCTGGTCGGGGATCGAACCCAGGACCACCTGTGTGGTCGGCGAGCACTCTACTGCTGTGTTACAGACACACACACACACTGAGTAGACACATAGAATTCGGATTTAATTGAGAAAACTGCGGCAACACTAACAACTTTTTATTCACAATCCACAGTAAATTATCCTGTACCCATCAGCAGAAATTTAAACCATGGATAATTAATGACTATCTGATTGATTGTACCAGTCATAATTTTACGGCTAACACTGAAAGTCAGTCAGTCCCAGCATCTTCCCTCTTTCAATAGATTTTCAGCTGGAGGACCACTACTGAAAGATATTCGTGGGTCTGAGTACTCTCTGCCTATGATCTATAAATAGTTTTGGATATTTTCTAGATGTATGGCCGACTTCACCAGAAAAAAGTAAAGAAGTCGTTACATTGTTCGTTGATCAGAATTAGGCATTTTCAGTGGATACTGATTACTGATGCATATTCCCCGAACACTTTACGAGAAATTCAGATCGTTTCATCAGAATCATGATGGTGAAAAAGTATTTTCCAACAGGTTGGTTCAACTAACCGAATGAATGCCGAATAGATTCTAGTCATGACGTTTTGTAAGATGACGTAAATCTTCCCAATTATTTGAAAAGAATATGACATCTTGACAGATTTCACCAACTAAGTTCGAAATATCTCCAGAAGTATTTTTAACAACATGAAAAGTAATGGAAACTGTAGGGAGAGTTCTTTTCCCTCTCATCTGAGAGGTAAGAAACTGGAGTGAAAATCTCTTCGCACTTGAAGTGGTCATATCTCCTGGTTTTGCACAAATAGTGCCTTCACACTAGATTTCGATGCATCACTGGAATACAGATTCTCGTTCTGACTGTTTTAACACCAGTATTCAAAGATTCCTTGAAACACAACTGTGCAAATAATGTATCAGTTGATAAATTACCCTGTGCTTCTATGGCTGAATGAATGACAGAATCAATAATATCAGTATGCTCATGACTAGATAACTGCAAATACAATTTACTAGTAAGCAGCACTTCACATAGTTTCACTTGTAAGTCTGTTGTTACAGTAACTTGACTGGCTCAGAACTGGAGGACATGATTTAAAAACATCTTGCTGAAAATTAATGACCTGATATTCTTCTGAATTGTATACCACATCGCCAAATGTATTATGACGACGATGATTTGAATACCCCGTTGCCAGTTTTAGTGGTTTGATGGTTGTTGTTTATCTTGACTACAATGCACCTCTAGACAACTGATTATTTGAAGGTATTCCCCCACACTGAGAAGACGTACAGAAGTTAGATTTAACTATCATAACAACAACCTTGATGATTGCATCAATCATCATTTTCCGGCCAACAAGTATA